AGTATTTGTTTACAGTGATCCAAGCAGAACCCACACCTGAGAATCCTCTCATGCCCTGGCGGCAGTGATTCTCCCAGAATGCATAGCCACCTGACTCCACAGGTGGAACACTGCCTACTAACGAATAAAATGAAAATAGACAAGAACATTGAGGATGGAGGAATCAAGCGGACTAAAGCAAACAGAAGTTAATGTAGTTTTTAACAGAAGCATTCTTACCCAAGTGAAATCTTCCATAGCACCCGTGTAATTAAGACAGCCAAGAGTGCTGCCTTAATTTAAGTAGATTGAGAAGGGAGTGGATCTCCTTCCTTGCCCATCATCCACGAGATCTCCACAAAGCTCCAGAGCTCTTTGCAGCATTCTGAAAACTACAGTTCTAGTAATACAGCAAAATTTCCATCCAGTTGATACAGCCCATTGCCACTAGTCTGGGAGGATGGAAGGCACACTAGGAGCCTCAAAGACAAAGCAAAAGTAAAGCTTTATTTAACGCCGGCAGACCCAGTGGACCCTTCTGCATTCGCACGTGTGAGACTGGCCCCAGTGCTCAGCAAAGGAGGATATACTCTTTGGGAGGGGTGGAGTTACAAACAAGGCACATCTGACATACATTTACTGGTTACAAAGTTTTAATATGTTAGCAGGCGGGCTCAGCTGTGCTATTGGCTGGAACATATCTAGACATATGAAGCACGATAGACCCGGACATTTTGAACAAAGGAAATTTCAAGTAGGGAATTTCCCCATAGTAAGTATAGCTTGAACCATGGAGGCAAAATTTCCCTTTCACTAAGTCACTGTAACTATAGTGACAGAGTATCAATTCTGAGCTTCCTGCAAATCAAGATTAAAAGGGGAATGCTATGGATTACCTATCTTTAGATAAAACAAAATGTTTTACCAGTTTGTTATATTTTATTTATTTATTTTTTGGTACTGGGGATCAAACTCCAGTCCTTGTGCTTGTGAGGCAGGCAGCGGCACCAGAGCTAAATTACCAGCCCAGCAGTATATTTTAAAGTAATCCAGGCATTATAGTGATGAATTTTCAGATAATATGCTTAAAGTAATAGGGGTAACCATTAACCTGAAGACAGTACAATTTACTTACTATTTCCAGACTTTGCAGACCTCTGTAGTTGTACTAATAGCCACTAGCTAGAGGGATTTAAAGTACAGAAGTACAATGCTCTATCATATGTGTACATATATGGTGGGATCAGTAAATTAGAAAGTACTTTATCTGAAAAGTCTGAAATTGAACCAAAACAGCACAGAATCTGCAAATACACTGTTTAAAAATGAGTTCATCCTAACTGCTATGAGAATAATTTTGTGCTCACCACAAATGAGTATGAAATTGTGCTCAAGGAACTAGCTGTACAGCTCAGTGGTACAGCACTTGCCTGACATGCTTGAGTCCCTGGGTTCAATCCCTGGCACTTAAGAAAAAAAAAAAAGTGGACCCTTGACTTATGAATTTGATCAGTTTCCAAGGGCTAGTTGTAACTCAAGTTGGTTGTAAGTCAATAATCTGGATGTTTACCTGGGTACACGCTATAAATAATGAGGCAGATGAATCTTCCATTAACCTAATGAACCCAAGCTGTTTATACATTTCCCAACTTTTAGAACACCATCCAAATAGTTATTTTGGGGCTGAACCCATGTGCTCTAACACTGAGCTACACACTGGCCCTGCTATTTTGTTTCTTCCTTCAGACGGGGTCTTGCTATGTCATTCAGACTGGTGTCCCCCTAACTCAACCTTCCAAGTGCTAGGAAGGACTCTAGTGTGCATCTCTGCACCCGACTTTTGCCCAAGTTTTATATAACTATGTCATTTTACCATTGTGATACTTATTCTTTATTCATGAATTTCAAAATTCTGTATCTAGTAATCCCTGTCATCTTTGTAGAATGTTTGACTTTTACTGTAGCACTTGCTTAGGGTATATTTGTTTCCCAGGTCAATCTCTGGGCTCCATTTCCTATCTATTTTCCAAGTAGAAGGGAACAGGAAATCGCTAGCAATTTTAACAGGAAAACAAAAATATTTTAAAAAATCCCAAGGAAACCTGTTTACATCTGTGTTCTTGTTACATAGTCACTACAAGCTGCCAAGTCTTACCGAAGATGAGCATTTTTGTGGTTTATGTCTAGATGTGCCCCCAAACACAGCCGCGTGGTCAGAGGCTATTTTGGAGGTGGCTGAACCTACACAGTGTCATCAGTTCATGGTGGGGACAGGACCAAGGACACTAGGATGAAGGGCATGCTACCCACCCTGAGTAGTTTGAATAAGATAAAAGGGGCAGGAAGAAGCTGTTAAGGACTTCTGCTTTTGCTACTTCATGCCACCATGCTGTCTCTCCTCTGCAATGCCTGTTTGTCCTTCCAGCCTGAGAGCCAGCCGATTATGGACTGAAACCTCTACGAACTGTGAGCTAAATAAACCTTTTACCCTTTAACTCTGGGTGTTGAGTATGTTGTCTCAGCAATGAGAAAAGTTGACTACAAGTGTTTTCTAGAGATGAGAGCTGGGTGCCCAGACAGGCAAATGAATCCCACGTTCCTGCACCTAGGGTTAACTGCACAAGTCCTGAAGGTCATGGCATTGTGTTTTGGAGCAGGAATCACACAAGGGAGCCACAGCTACTTATACTCCTCTGGCTCCATTACCTCCAAAGCATAATTGGGAACTCTCACTCTCATCTTTGAAGAGCAGTGATTCCTGTGAATGTTCTCCAAATAAAACTCAGTCACTGCCACAGACATAAAAAACTGCAGCTCTTGAAAGTAAGGCCCTTGACTACACAATCACTGGTTGCTACGTTCTCTACAGCTGCCACCTTTTCCTAGCTATTCAGAACCTTTAAGACATCTGAAGGTAAAAATCAGCCAACAAATTAGAAGCTTAAGAGATAACAGATTCAAACTGACACAAATAGAAAAAAAAAAAATGACTCAGTCAAAATTTATTTAAAGGCCTGGAAATATTCAGACTAATCATAGTGGAACTACTATGACATCTTACAATGCATAGTCACTTAACAAACAACTGTTAACAGTGCAGACAAACTCCTGAACAACATACTGTATGATTTTCAAAAGCAACGGCTATTTAATGAAAGGTAAAGCAATAAGATATCAAAGAACTTCCACACAATGAGCACATAATTAGCAGCAGGCTACTCAGAGTAAACACAAATCTGTCTTTATAATTTCACACTTGTTTTTAACCTTGCTTCATAAAATCATTGATAATTGAGGCTTTTTTCAAGCATGGGATTTCAAAGATTGTATCTTCAGTGTAGGGGAGAAGGTGTAACTCAAGTGGCAGATTGCTTGGCTAGTAAACACAAGCCCCTGGGGTGAATCCTTAGGCTCATTAAAAACAAACAAACAAACAAACAAAAAACCTAAGTATTTTTATAAAGAAATGAAAAAGCCACAAACTGCATGGTTTGTCACAAATTCATAGAACACAAAGTAAAATGCAGCCAGGCGTGGTGGTGCACGCCTGGAATCCCAGCACTCAGGAGACTGAGGCAGGAGGATCAGAGGTTTGAGGACAGCCTAGGGTACTGAGTTCAAGGAGACTGGACTACATAGTGAAACCTTGTCACAAAAACCAAACCCCTCAAAAAAGTAAAATGTAATCTAACTGAATTTATATATGCATCCCTTTTCTCTGACAACTTTACATGTTTTTCAACATACTTTCTAAATGTTTACTAAACATCAGTAATTAAGGAAAATTAATTACCTTTAAAATCCACTATATACTTCAACCTTTCTCCACCCAACCTGCCCCCGGCCAAATCTATTACCAAAGTGAACAATGAATCACTGACAATCTGAGGCAACAAAAAGCAAACTGTAACCTTTACTTCCTTAAGTATCCAAAAATTTCAACTTTTTACTTTTATAGACAAAGGACTCAAGTGGCCAAAAGTCAGGAAAAAGGAAAATACAAAGTGTGAAGACTAAAATTTATACCTTTCTTTCAAGCTACAAGTACTCTCCACATCAGCATTAAGTTATACTGAGCCTACGTAAGTATAACAGTTTACATTTACTCGAATATATAATCACATTAAAAATAAATAACCTGCTCACTATTTCATAGCTTATTGGCTCTTAGCTTCCCAAAGGGGAAAAATAAGCACTTTGTGTTAAGAAACTAGCACACATAATGAAAGGCTATGTGTATTTAAATTAAAGATGAGGTTTGTTTTTCCTAAAATTGCAATACAAGGGCTGGGAGTGTAAGTCAGTGGCAGAGCATTGGCCTAATGCAGAGGTGGCGAACCCATGGCATGTGTGGCCCAATGGGCTGTCATCACTGAAAGCTCTGAAAGGATTGCCATCACTGGCCTAGTGGGTGAGGCTCTGGATTTAATCCCCAGGGCTGAAAAACAAAAGCAATACAAATATACACTTAATTACTACTCACATAGTGATGGAGTGGAATGGCAGGGACAGAAGCAATCTCTTATGTGTACAGGTGCAGGATATTTCAACTGAAAAAAACTTAGAATTGTTGAAAGGAAAAAAGAACCAATGTCAAGAAAAACGCTGAAGAACGAGCATATCTACTATTAATAAGAAAACATCCAACACAAAAATGAGAGCTACAGAATTAAAGTAGCACTCATTTTACTGTCTTAAAAACAAATTGATAAGCAGAGGGAACCTAGGCCACTGAGAATTGAGGGAACTCCATGCATAAAATGGTGACAGCAAAATGAACTGAACTCATAAGGAAAATGAGTTAAACCAAATTTTACAAAATTCTTCATGTTTATAATAATATATTAATGTAGAAAATATAAAAATATATAGCATGGCTGGGGATTTGGGTCAGTGGTGCTGCCGCCTGCCTTGCAAGCACAAGGTCCCAAGTTTGATCCCTGGTACCAAAAAACAAGACAGCATGGACTTTCCTACTAGGGTTTATAATAAATTATCAAACTTCTGCTTAACGCATTTACTTTTATAAGTCATCTGTACTCAGCAGTAAATGCTACACAAGTGCATACATGCTGCTATCTTACCATAAAGATTACCGTTTTCATCTCTACTGACTTGCCTTTTCACCCATTCCTATAGTACATTTTATTTCCATTGTAAGATAATACCTTTCTAGTGGGGTTCATATTACATAAAGAAAAATCTTGATTTTTAAAAGAAGCTTTTTAAATACAGCATGATAATTTAACTTAACAGTTGAAGCATAGCTGAGTAACTACACTATTGTATAGTTTAAGCTAATTCATAGCATAGGGAAATTTAAAATATAACAGATGACCCTGCATAATGAACAGTGAAGCATTAGAAAACAGCATTTGAGTACATAAGGTCATTTTTCATTAGTGGTCCTTCATAATATTGCCTTTTGAAACCTGGAAGAAATTGTTGTCTTTGATTTTCAAATGTTCTGGCAAATCTAGACGTTTCTTAGCTTCTTCAATATCTCCTTGAATTGCTGAAATAAGTGACTCTATAGAGAGAACATACCACATAAAGGTATTTAGAAACTGTGAATATACTCTGTACTATTCTTCTGCTGAGTCTCCCCTAAAAACATCACAGGTTGGTCACAACTCTGACACAGTAAATGCCCAATATCTGCTCTGTCCCTTTTTTTTTCAGGCTTAAGAAAAAGGAATGGTTCTGTTATAGACGTGAGCTCTCTACAGCACCTCTCTGGAACCTCCTGCTCTGTCTTCCATGTGACGCTCTTCCCTTACACAGCAGCAAGGTCCTCACCAGACAGAGCCCAGCTCTTGGATTTTAAGCTACTCCAACTACATATGATATAAACCACATAAACATCTATTCTTCACAAATTACCCATCTTGTATGTAGTCATAACAACAAAAGGATTAAGACAGGGACTTTGGGCAAATAATCTCTGTGTCAATTTTCTCATCTGTGAAATGGGCAAAATAATTCTTCATATGGTTGTTGTGGGGATAATGGAATTTACTCATGGGAGACACTTAAAACAATGCCTGGCACACATTAAATGTTCGAATAAAATGTGCTCTACTATCATTATCACTAGTAATAGCCACGGCAGTAGAAATACTAAAGATCAAAGTAGGAGCTTACCTAAAGAATCAAAGTTCTTTTCTGGTCGGAGGTAGCCAACAATGGCCACATTGAGGATTTCCCCATAGAAGTCCTCCTTGAAGGTATGCATAATGTGAGTTTCCTATAGCCAAAAATGATGAAGAGATTACAGGGAACGTGAAATCTGAAATGCTTCTTCATATTTATAGTGGGCTAATTTAAATGAAACAATAAATTCTTGTAAACGTTTTAAAGATTTTCATCACTCCTGTTTCCGTCCCAACCTTATGGTATGGTATGTTATACTGTAAATCACATATGATTTGCTGTTTAAAATGTCTCCAGTTCAGATACATCATCTAAGGTTTAGAAGATTCCCCTAAAGAGCCACATCAGACATCAAAAGGCAGAAAGACCAAACACAAATAAGACAGCTGAGGTTTAACAGGATGGTTAGCACTGGAAATCAGATTAAGTGTAAACTATTTAGAAATACCTACTTTGAGATATGTTTTGAAGCATGACATAAGAAAAGTCTTAAAATTAATGTATCTATCACCTGTCTGCTAGAGCAGCTAAATCACATGCAGCATAATAAAGCAATATACTAAGAAAACATTACAAGGATCTATTTAAAATATATATGAGATGGGTTTATTCTTTCTAAGCTAACTTAAACTTGTACACTTGAATATGATTCAACCCAAAGAGAGAAGGAAATATTACGTGAGATTTTAGATTAAGGCAAATTTTATTTCTCCCTGGGTTCAATCCCCAACAATAGAAAAAAAAAACAAACCAAAAAAACCTATGCTCCAACTCTAATCTGTCTAAATAAAATTCAAATACAGTAGTAACAAAGTATTTCATTTTTCAGTTCTACCAAAAATTCTGTTTGAATTATGTTGTGATTACCATTAATGAATTCTAATATTACAAATTACTCAGTCATCATGTGAATTTCAGTTACAGAGCATAATGTCATTCTTACCATGGATTTTTTCAAATTCTTGTAGTATGGGTTCCATCCGATGCTCACCACCATCTTATGAACATCTCCATCTCCAACACTGGCCCAGCCATAATAAATGCCAGTGGATATGTCAGCTGGAAGATTATCTACTACTTGTTCAGGAAAGTTAGCTAAATAACAGAAGGAAATATTCCAAGTGTACTAAGATTTATATTAAATGTGTGTGAAAATCACATGAAGGACTAATCTAAATTATTACACTTACAATTATTATGACCTTGACTATGATTTCCATCCTTCTATATTATTGTTTACATTCCTTTATTTTCTTCATGTGGTTAGTTTAGGAATGAGGTACAAGGCAAGTGTCTAAATTTCTCTCAAACCACTCCCCAGAAAAGAACAAAACAAATCTGGGTAAAATAAAAAATAGGTAAGAGCCAGGCATGGCGGAGCATGCCTTTAATCCCAGCACTCCGGAGGCTGAGGCAGGAGGACTGCTGTGAGTTGGAGACCAACCTGGGCTACACAGTGAGTTCCAGGTCAATCTCAAGTACATAGTGAGACCCTGTCTCAAAAAATCCAAAAAAAAAGGTACAAAAGCAAATGAAATGTGGCACGCAGACCTATAGTCCCATCTATGCAGGAAGCTGAGAGGTAAGAGAGACCAAGGTAGCCTGCGCAACATAAAGAGATTGCGTGTCTTAATATTTATTAACATCAAAACGATGTTCTCAATCATTTAATCAGTCTTACTTTTAAAATATACAAACCCAAAGGCCAAGCTCAAAAAGGCGACTTAAAAGGTCAAGAACAGCCCAGGCAGGTATCTAACGATGAATTAAGCAGTCAAATCTTGATTACTAAGACCAATGTAAGCAAATCAAAAACAAAAGATGCACTCATCTAGCTTCCTGTATTATCAAATGGACGCTATCCGAAGTCTGGATTTTAAAGTCATCGTGACAGACCGGTCGATTTGGCCCACACCACGTTTCTGGGTAAGTCAACTGGCATGCTTGTCCAACTCTATCCCAGCTGGACAGGGAGGTGGGACGGGGAATTGTGTGACCTGTCTCGGCTTCCTGTGATCAGCAGCGGCCCCGGGGAGCTCGGAGCCAGGAATGTGGAGGAGTTCCTGCTAGCGGACCAAAGGTCCTCCGCCCAACGAAGGGGAGCGACGCTGTGGACGGGGTCACCTCTGCCGCGTCCCGCGTGACCCGGCCCCGGGCTCC